AGTCTCCTTAATGCTATGTTTGGTTGGAGGGATGGATTGGGGAGGAATGGATAGGAGGAGGGATGGATCAATGTTTTTATGTTTGGTTGGAGGGAAGGGAAGAGAGGGAGGAAGTAAGGAGGGATGCTTTATCCCTCATTGCTATACATTTTCCTATCCGCCCAAATTTGGGGGGAAGAGTGGAGAGAAAAAAGGATAACTACCAATTTTGGTTTAATTTCCATTTTTGTCCTTCCTAAAAATTGTTAAAACCCTACTGCGTTATACAACTATATTGATTATTTTGCCGCTATACTGATTATTTTGCCGGCAAACTTCATTGAAGCTGATAAACTTTGTTGAACATAGATTCGTGAAAAGCACAACTCAGGTACCTTTTCTGTTTTGCTTTTAATTTTGTATATATATATATATATTTTCTGTAACAACCAACCCCAAGCACAAGATTTATTAATTACCCAGTAGAGTTTCATCAATATAGAAACTTCATACAATTATTTCTTTTGCAGATAAAGTATTGTCAATTATTAATTACTCAGTAGAGTTTCATCAATATAGAAACTTTATTAAAATAAATCTCTCCATAAATAAATCATTTTTTACTAAAATTTTTCTCTACACACGTTTTCTGATATTCATCTTGATCATTTTGGTCTGTTCTACATTCTCTTCCTTTTTTTATTTATTTATTTTTTTTTTATAGTTAAAGCTACCTTCTCTTCCTTACTATATAATACCCCCATATTTTACGCCCCAATATCATTATACCAACATCCAAAATGCTTTCTGTAGCAACCATTAATATTGCAACACCCACTGCCGATCGAGCTGCTTGAGGTCGCCCCGCACCCAATTCATTTGATACTCTTATGCTAAAGTTTATTCATGTGTATTAATTTCCTACCATGTTTATTCATTTGTATTAAGGTTAAGAATATGTACATTAATCGATTAGTACACTGATATTGTGTTACAGACATTTTGTTTGTTTTAATTTCCTACCATGCAATATATATATATACCTGATGGACATGCCATTATTATAAATTTAATCTCACAAGCCAGAGGAAATGTATTTGCAACTATATGTGATATATATACACACTTAATACTTTTATTTCACTGCATACATACATTTATATTTGTTGCTTTGTTTGATCGTCTCTGTTGTTTATATTTTATCTTCTATGAGGATTAACTAATTAGAAAAATTTTCTCATGACTAGTTAATGGTTTTATTTGTTTATTAATGATAAAATTATTTTAAATTTTAATTCATTTGTCTTACTAATTATCTATTGATTACATACATTTGCTAGATGGAAATAGAAGGAGATTTATATGAGAGTGGGGATAAGAATGAGACACATGAATTGCAAGACTGTGGAGAAGAAACTTTTGGTGATAATGTTGTAGAATATTTAAATAGCTGGGAATGGAGACGAAAGATACAGGTGGTTCAACTTATTTGTTATATTGTTCGCATCCTTTACATGATGGGAATGACATTCCATTCACACCATGTGAATAGGGCAATAAATGATATTGATGGGGAAAAACTTAGTATGCGTGAACAACTAATGAAAAAACTTGCTTCTAATGAGAATTGTCGAGATATATTACGTATGGGACCATATGCATTTGCTAAATTGTGTAACATACTTCGTTCCACTGGTCGTCTCAAGGACAATAGAAATGTTTTGGTTGAGGAGAAAGTAGCAAAGTTTCTTTATATCTTGTCGCATAATGTGAAGAATCGTGCCATTCAATTCTTCTTTATTCGATCTGGCGAGACCATTAGTCGTCATTTTCATGATGTACTAAAAGCAATAATCAGTTTAGAAGATTTATACCTACAACCACCAAGAGGTTCCGAAGTCCCTCCAGAAATACGCCATAGTAGCAGATTTTATCCCTATTTCAAGGTAAAAAATTAAATTTATATGATTAATATTATCTTTCAAATATTTATGACATATAGAATAATAATAATAACTTTTTAAAAATTTCAGGATTGTGTAGGAGCCATAGATGGGACTCATATTCGTGTGAAAGTATCTAAAAAAGATGCACCAAGATATCGAGGAAGAAAAGACTATCCAACACAAAATGTCCTAGCGGCATGCTCGTTTGACATGAAATTTACATATGTTTTGCCTGTGTGGGAAGGAACGGCATCTGATTCAAGGGTCATAAAAAATGCCCTTTCAGAACGAGAAGAAAAATTAATAATCCCTGAAGGTAACTTATAGTCATTTGTATCAAATTTATGATTTATGATGACATAAGTTAAAAATAGTAACTTATAATGTTTTTATTTCTTCTAGGTAAATATTATTTAGTGGATGGAGGTTATATGTTAACGAGTGGACTAATAACTCCATATAGAGGTGTTCGGTATCATTTGAAAGAATACTCATCACGTGCACCAGAAAATGCTCAAGAATTATTTAATCTTCGACATTCTTCCTTGCGCAATGTAATTGAAAGAGTATTTGGAGTGCTTAAAAAACGATTTCCAATTATTTCAACGGGTGCAGAGGCTCATTATCCAGTTGATACAGTTACAGAGATTGTTTTAGCATGTTGTATCCTACATAATTATCTAATGGGTGTAGATCCTGATGAAAGATTGATTGAAGAAGTTGAACGAGACCTCATGAACATGGATGTACATAATGATGGGGAGAGATACACACTCATTAATGATGACGAAGCTAAGCAAGGATCAATTATAAGGAATGCCATAGCAGCTAACATGTGGGAGGACTACGAACTATGATGTTTCTATTTTTTTTTTATATTTGTTACAGCATTTTCATGTCTTTAATTTATTGAATCATGATGATATTTTATTTCTAATTACTATATCTTGTTATGTTAGATGCCTATTTCACATTAAAATTTGTCGTTTGTGGTTTTATATTTTTACTTTTTTTTTTTTTTAAATATGTGCTGTAGAGAATTTATTTTTATATGATATAAAAAAAATTACAGGTCGTGGAAATGAAGAAATCAAATAACAATGTGAATATGAATGATATTAAGAAAGATGCAATAAAGTGGACTGAAGAAATGGATGGTATATTACTTGATGCATTATTGGAGCAACAAGAAAATGGGAACAGAGTTGATGGAACTTTCACATCTACAGCATATTCAAATGTTGTGAAGATATGCTCTCAAAAACTTGGCTATTCGTTTGATAAAGATCACGTGAAAAATCATATGAAAACAATGAAAAATAATTTTAACACATGTTATGACTTGTTCAAAAATTTAAGTGGGATATCATGGAGTCCAGAAACAAAACTCTTTGAAGCTGAACCAGAAGTATGGAAGGCCCTCATAGAGGTATGCAGTCATTTTATTATTTATTTTAATTATTTTTCTTTTAGTTTATTTAATCATGTATATATATATTTGAATAATGCATGATATATGTTTCTTACTTTTAGGCAAAACCATCAGCTTCAAAATGGAGGCACACCAAAATCAACCATTATGGTAAGTTGTTTGAACTTTTTGCAAAAGATAGAGCTACTGGTCAAGGTGCTATAAGTGCAAAGGAAAAAGTTCGCAAATGGGGAACAGAGAATGGTACCTCAAGTAGTACTCAAAACAACAACCATGAGTCAAATTCACAATGTGGGGGGTCTTCAAAGGGTTCAAAAAGAAAGGATGTAATGGCTGATGTGTTTGAGAGAGAGATTGAAGTTATTGGATCTGGAATTAACAAAGTAGCCGAGGCAATTGAAAAAGGAAACCTTGTTGCTGAGAAGGGACTCGAAATTGCAGCAAAGAGAGTTGCAATAGTTGAGAAAACATAAGCTAATTATCATCCAGATGAAGAATTATTTGCTGAACTAATGAGAATTGGAGTTCCTGATAATAAACAGTTGGATGCATTTATATTCCTTATCAAATACCCTCAGCACAAAAGCGCATTTTTTGCTGTTCCAACTGAGAGGCGTCTTGAATTGCTTAATATGGTGATGGATAGAGGAAATGACTCTTGAAGAGTCAGTAATTTTTTGTTCATGCTGTTTTTTTTTTTTTTTTTTCTTGCACTGCATTTCAATTATTGTTATATACTTTATTTGTTTGTTTTGGTTGAAGATTTGGTTTCTTCATTTACATAAATAAAATAAACTGGTCGCTCTTTTAGGACTCATTAAATTTTATTCAAGATGTTCTTACATTGTTCTCTTTCATTTTTGTGGCATGAAAATATTAGTGAATATAAAGTATAGGAGTGATTTTTCTAATGATAGCAAAAGGTTCAAACATATCTTATGAAATGTTTTACTCTGTCTTAAAAATTAGTAATTGCGCGCTGGGCATTTTCCAGTGATTGAATATTGCGAGAAGTATGAATTGTTGAATTTGCTAATTAGAAAAACCTATTTAACACCATCTGAATTTTGAAGTATATTGTGAGAAGTATGAAATGTTGAATTTGCCAATCAAATAACCCATTAACAGTACAACATCTGAATTTTGAAGTATTCATTTAAAAAAAAAAAAAAAAAATTTGTTTGGTACGTATAAAACATTCATTTTAGACAACTTGTTACTAGAGCTCAATATTATTAAATAATTTTAAATTAATTAATTTTATAACTTTATATAGTAAGGGTATATTAGTAAAAAGTGTATAAAAATTATCATTTCCTTCCTTCCAACCAAACAAAAAAAAACTACCCTTCTATTAATCCTTTCTGTTATCCCTTCCATTCAACCAAACAAAAAATGAAGGAGACACTTTCCCTTTCCCTAGGGATTACTCATCCATCCCTCCCCCTCTTCCTTCCATCCATTTTTCCATCCCTCCAACCAAACGGAGCATAAAGGTCCAACAGTGAAAAAGAAAAAGCACTTCCTTTGGATGACGGACATGCTTTTTCTTCATTTTGATGACGAAACACTAGAAAGTGGATTTTCAAGGGACCCAAACGGTCCCTTAAATACCCTCACCGCCGCCGCACAATGAAATACCATAAAATTCCAGGCACTTTCGATATTTCGTAAAATACAGGGCCTTCTTATATTCCCAACGTCCAAATTCAACAAAACCAGGGTTAGGGTTTTCAGATTCATTCATCGCATCACCGCTCTCTCTCTTTACAAATCTCTTTTTCTCTCTTTGCAACTCTCGCAAGACACAGAAGAAGGAAAACACAGCGATGCCGAAGAACAAGGGTAAGGGAGGCAAGAACCGGAAGAGAGGCAAGAACGAAGCCGACGACGAGAAGCGCGAGCTGGTGTTCAAGGAAGACGGCCAAGAGTACGCTCAGGTCCTCCGCATGCTCGGCAACGGCCGTTGCGAAGCCATGTGCATCGACGGCACCAAACGCCTCTGCCACATCCGTGGCAAGATGCACAAGAAGGTCTGGATCGCCGCCGGGGACATCATCCTCGTCGGCCTCAGGGACTACCAGGACGACAAGGCCGACGTCATCCTCAAGTACATGCCCGATGAGGCCAGGCTCTTGAAGGCCTACGGAGAGCTGCCGGAGAACACTAGGCTCAACGAGGGCATCGCCGGAGGTCTCGACGAGGAGGACGACGGAGCCGGCGATGATTATATCGAGTTCGAGGACGAAGATATTGATAAGATCTGAGTTATCTAATTTGGGTTTGTGTCTGTTAAATAAATTGATTATTCACTTCTTTCTTTTTTGGATTATGGAATATATATAATTGAGAATTTTGCATATCCCATGAATGAACCATTTGACTCTATAAACTTGATGTTGTTAGGAGATATATGTGAATGTTGCACTTGGATAGCGCATATCTTTGGTTTATATATATATATATATATATATTTGGAGAAATTTGAATTGTTTTTCTCAATAGGTTTTGTTAGAGCTGATGGATCTATAGTTGCTTTCTTATTTTCTTCTTGTTTTCTGATACTTGTTATAATATGATGAGTGTAAATAAATGTATATGTATGTATTAAGCTTTCTTGGATGATTGAGATGTGACAATGGGAATTGCATGGACCTCCTTTTCTCTTCAAATTTTATGCTTGATGGTGTCTCTGTTGATTGATATATGACTTTGTACACGTAATCTTTATTACTTGAAAGGATTAGAATGTTTCAATTTGCTTTATGTTATGTTTGGGACCACCAAATCGGCACCTATGGATTAGGGAATGGATTAGAGAGGGTCTTTTTCATGGACCTGAATGAACCATTTGACTCTATAAGCTTGATATCTGAGAATGAATGGATAGCGTTTATCTTTGATATATGATGCTTTATGGATATATATATATATATATACACGGAGTATATATTTATATGTGTGTGGGTATATATATATATTTGGAGAAATTTTATTTATTTTTGTCAATAAGTTTTGTTACAGTTGATGAACTTGCTTTCTGCTTTTCTTTTGGTTTGCAGTTAATTTGTGTGTTAATGAGTATATACATATATGTACATGTGTGTATTAAGATTTCTTGTTTGTACTGGGATGTTACAATGGCAATTGCATGGACCTCCTTTTCTATTCAAATTTTATGCTTTAATTTCATTTTGTTCTTGATGTAGTTCTTTTGGAAGGAAATTGTCTAGGGTTGGGGACTCATTGGGATTTTCAATAAAACAAAAAAAAAATTCTCATGGTAGATAAGAATTTTACTGTTAACATTTGATGAATATTTCTTTAATTTGTTTTTTTTCCCCTCGTAAAAAGATTAAAGTGGTTGTTTATTTTTTTCTTGGCCCAAGGCGCTAGAAGTCATTTGGAGCCTAGGCAGCAGTGCTGCCGCGCCTGGGTGTAAATCATTATTAAAGCATGCTCATATTCCATATGAAAAAGCACTATGTTGTCAAAGGAGCACCTGGGCACGCAACAGGCGCAAGTGTTGCTCTTTTATATGAGCTTGGAGACGCTCTTTTATATGAGCTTGGAGCCTAGGCGTGTCTTTAACAACACTGCTTCTACTTGGCAATATGCATTAGCCGATGCTTTTCCATATTCTTTGTCTGTTTGCATTTCTAGGATGCCTAATGCCTGCATGGAAATGAAGTGAAAATTAAGAAATTGTATTATCTAATTTGGGATTTTATGTTGGCTAAAGGTGATTGCACATTGCTCTAGCCCTGGTAAGGATATAGCTGGGATACCCAGAGTATTTATTTGGTTTGGTCAATGAATTTCCAGTAGTGATGAATTTTTTTTTTTTTTTTTTTTTTTAACCACAGTAGTGATGAATGCTGAACTAGTTTTTGTTTTCCTAAGCCCCTTTACAGAAGGCCCCTTTTCTCCTTTGGCTGTCCTTGTTATCTTGGTAATATGTATACCATTTAAACATGCTTTAAAATGTTTATTATTATTTTTATTAGAGTTGAAAAGCATATTATAAAAAAATGGAGAAAGTTCTATATTATATAATTCTCCACAAGGTAATTGTGTTGAAGTTTTGATTTTGTAAAAAATTATGAACTTCATTTTGTTCTCTTAGTAATTTTTGCATGTACTCGGGAAGCATGATTGTCTGGCTCGTTAGCATATTTAATCTCAAACTTGGTATGTTTTTTAAACCCTGGAAAGATTCGTTAAGGCAATTATGTTGCACCTCTGGGAATGGTTTTGGTCGAGAGGCATGACCGCGGATTGCTTTGAATGACAATAGTGTGTGTTTTCCGACCATTTAATCGAGGTAGAAAACAACTAGAATGTCTGTGTGAGTTCAAGGGAAGAGACATCTTACGGTCCACAAAATCTTGGAACTTGAAAGGGTGTATGTGACTGCAAGAATTTGTTAATTTTGCTTGAGCTCATACTTGAATTGGAATGTGTTAGATTTCATTGTATAGTGACATAACAATGCCAATTTCCAGTTACATTCATTTCGGTGTATAGTTACATGGCAATGCCAATTTATGGTTGCATTCATTTCTCTGTGGTTGATGGTGATTGTCTACCCAACCGCATGAGGTCAAAGAAAAATGCTAATCCTTCTATTCTTCCAATTATGATGTCATTTGACCAATTAGTTATACAGTTACACTTAAATTTGTAAAGTTCGATGACCTATAATTTTGATCTCTGAAGAATGGAATGATTATATTAAGTATATCTAATTGGTCAAATGGCATCTCATGTGATGTAATGATTCATCCATGCCCTAGTAATTTGTTTACGATTCATCCATGCCCCAGTCGGAACCCAGTGTTAAATAGAGATGGCAATCCATTTTCTGGGCAATATTTTGCCATTCAGCTTCCTATTTCATCACATGAGATGCCCCCACATAGGCTTGTCAATGGATCGGATCTATCAAATCCATATCCGATTTGTTAAGTAAACGGGTTATCGGATTTGGATCACTAATGAATTTTCGGACTGAATGTTCCAATCTATATCCTATTTAGCTTAGACTCGAATTGAATCGAATTCGAATTTTGATTAAAATTATATTTACTAACATATATAATTATAAAAAGTATGATATTATTAGTATGTATATTAAGAGATTTATTAACATGTGGATGAGAACATCACACTATTGTATATATAACATTATGATTTTTATTTTTATTTTTGAATTTTTGGGTTACCTCTAATACAATTCTAATAGGAGTATTGATAGATATATGTAGAGATATATATGTTAAATTATTGATAAATAATTTAACATAAATAATTATATATATATATATATATATATAATTATTTATATATATAATTTTAATCGGATCTAATCAGCATAATTTATATCCAATTTGTTAAGCTAACGAATTATCGAATTCAGATCGTAATCGGATTATCGGATTTTTTGTTCAATCCATATCCGACTAATCGGATCGGATTTGGATCAGGATCCGCTCCATTAACAGGTCTACCCTCACATTGACTGGGGAAGAGGTTGTTTGCGACTTACATGTGTAGACCCCTTAACTGTGCAATCGTGTTTTGAAAAAAAATCACAGACATCTCTCAAAACAAGAGCACCGAGAAAAGAGTAGAAAGCATACAATGTGGACGAGTCATGACATCACAATCTTCCTTCATTATAGTGAATCTCTGTTTGTTGGAACTGACATGAAGGCTGATGGGTCCTCGACCACACCACGCATCAGCCTTTCCCAAAGACAAATTTCGTTCAACACAAAGCAAATAAAAGAAGATGAGCATATAAAAACACGTCCTCAAACTGACCATTTGATATGCAAGTATTTCACAGATATTGCCATCAAAGGTCCTCTCTATTCAACATCCTAAATTTCATTTTTTGTGACTCCTACTCCCCCAAGGGAGTGAAGAATATATGAATCCTTGTCTATATCAATAACTCACCGGCACATAACATGCTATTCTTACAAATGACAGATATCAAAACATTGAATAAGTGGGGATGAAAGGAAAAATGCAACCCATCAATCCAAACTGATATAAATAACTCAATAACAACATTCCTGGTGGCCACCCGAGGATCCAATCATTGAGAAGTCTAGCCATCAATCCCTTGCATCTTGCACGACATAATCTTTTCACCATGCCACCATATAATCATCTTGCTCACCAAATTGAGCACAATGGATGTTTAAAGTTAAAAGCTTCATGTATCCAATGTCATAGAAAATAATCTGGTGCCGGTTTTTTGGCAGGAGCCCCTCTTGATTCCTGCATTTCACCACAAATTTTCTAGTTCACCATATAATATATGTCATCAAAAAAGGAAGCTGTAGAAGGCAGAAATGCAACATGACACATCATTCAGTCAGAACTCAGAAGAGAATCATTTGTTATTTGGGTGGATTCTGGAGAGCTTTCTGGAGTACATGGTCAAGGACAGCTCAAATCCTACCTGACGCAGCGGTAGGATCATAAATCATATATCAATAAGTGCTAAAACCTGCCCACACAGGAGTTTCCCTATTCCTGTTCAGAATTTCAACTTGAAACCTAAAATAACTCTTTTCATTCACTAAATGTGGAACCCAAGTGAATAACTCACAATTGTAGATGGCCACCATAAATTTCATGCTGCTATTGCTGTTGTTCAAGATAACCTCCCCAACCCCTCAAATTTCCCTCCGATCAGTTATAAACAGTTCTATGTACAAACCTGTGGTGCTGCTTCAAACACGCGAAACTGCTTATTAAGATTCTCATCAAGCTCAAGAATTGCAGCTACATTACCGCATCTGCAACACATCCGATAATGAATCAAAAAGTTCACTTTAAACAAATGAAAGAGGAAATTAGTCTAAGTTACTAAATTTACCTGTAACAGTAATTTGGAGCCGACCAGACGGTAACTATCTGGTTATTGAACATCCATTTATAACCTTCCATTACCAACTGATGGGCACGACATATATAATCGATGTTATTCGAGTGGTTAAAAGAAGTGACAACACTGCCCCCAAATAGAAACCCAGCACCACGAGGACTCAACCCCCAACCATCAACAATATCTTCTGGATCTGACCATAGGAGGTCACACATGGCACCATCGTGGGGTACTTCTTGCTTTCGATCAATTGTTCGAATCTGGAAAGTAGGTCATGTTAACACCCTAAAAGCTTCAAATAACAAACAAAATTTCTCAGGATTACTTCCCTGACCTGGTCCAATGTGGAAATGGCAGGAGAGAGACCACCATGAACAGAAAATATCTTGTTCTCAATGAGAGCCGATAGACTGTAGTGGATCACATTGAAATTCAAAATCCATAAGTAAACACATAATAATTAATAAGTGAACCTGAATTTAGGATGTCTTGATAGCAAATTGAATGAAGAATGACTTGACAGCCAAGATTAATGATGATGGCCTTTTTTAAATCTATTTTAACAAGATATTGTAAGGTAAAAAGTAATAATTGAACAGATGACGATTTCGTCATGGCTTCTTATAGTTTATCCAAAATAGCAGATGTTACCAGCTTCTTCTAGGAATTATTTAACAAAAAACAGTGAGATTTTCGGTATCCATGGCAATGGTGGCCTAGAAAATTGGTACGCAATTTGCAAGGAAAGCTTCAGCTAGGTTCCGTTTGTATGCTTTCAAATACATCATGGCATGGAAAAAATGAATAACAGGGCAGCTGTTGAGTCTGGTGATTTAATTTTATATTGGAAATAGAGTGATGTGCAAAGGAGACAAAACGTAATATTGGGGTCTGACCCAAATGCAATGTACCACATTGTCAACCTTTAAAAATCTGAATTTAAGATAACTACAGACCTGAAAACTAACTTTATGTGTACTTAATACCAGTATATGAAGTATGCGACAAGGCAAATACTAGAATCTCCACTTTACAGCATTCTCATAAATTCACCAGCATGCATGAGGATCATAAAATCACTCTCACCAATAGACTTCCCAGACACAAATAACAACTCAAGTTTATGATATTAAATACCAAACTGATTTGACATATATGGACAGCAGTCATCAAGAACATTTAGAATATGAAGAATGATTAGGCGGCAAAAATAATGATAAATGAAGTGTCCTAATTTCCTACGGTCACTAGCATATGCAACCAAATTGCCACTCCGGCTTCTACATCTTCCATCAGACAGATGCACTTTGTCATCTCTAAAGGAAATTGGCAATACCTCAAGTAATCGAATATATCAGTGCAATATCTCCAAACGTTTACAGAGCCATACTTACGTAGGCACTCATCATAGAATCCGTATACCTGGAAAGAGAGGACAGCTGACAAGTTTGCAAAAACGTATAAGAACTTAGAAGTAGAGAAATCAATTAACAAGACTTAACCTGCGTGATCTGGCGGCTCTCATGGTTCCCCCTAATGAGTGTTATCCGATCTGGGTATCTTACCTGATTGTAAACAATCTTTTAGTTGAAAACAACCATAACTATAAGGGGGAAAAAGGAGGAAAAAAGATAAACATAACACACACACATATAAAAGCATTTCAATTAGATGAACACATTCATATATGCATAAACAATTAACGCTTGAAATCTTACATGAGTAAAGATAAGATGGACAAGGCACGCTAAAACTAATTACATATATAAAATTACGCATATAAGTTATTTTGACCCTACAATCAACAAAAAGCCCACAATAACTTGGAGTGATTTGCATGATGATGATGGAACTTTGATGTATAAGAGCTATAGTTGATTGATTTCAATCATTTTCATCAATAAAAACTTGGGATATTGTAGCTCAAATAAGTTTTCAAACGTTCTTTTATCATTGTCCTCAAATTCTCGCCTCGGTGGTCCCTGGCTATCACGGGCAGCACGTCAGACATGCCCTGCTACCAAAGCTGCTTGCAATGTAGCACGGCATCTTGCCACAAGAAGCTGGCCAAACATGCCCCAAGCTTGGTGCATGTTGGCGTTTTTGCAAATATCCAGTGGCACCATTGTAAAAAGCTGATTAATTCCACAAGCATGGGAAAACTCTAATTTTACATAAATAAGGAACAGTCAGTCAGGTACGTGCTTGGAGACCTAAGCATTGCACATTCTGCCTCCTCCATTTAGTTGTAGTTTGGGGATAGCGCCAACAGCCTCGAGTCCCTGTTGTATACTTGGTTGATATTAGTAGGTGTCCCCTTCGCTGCCAACACGGCACATGCCACAAATACAAAAGAAAAGTCAAAATAGTCAAAGGCCATGGCATTGAGAAGTTCATCCCCATAGATAAACTCAAACCACTTCGAGGAGTTCTTTCCCATACATAAACCTCGAAATATACAAAGTCAAGGAGCTCTTTCCCATAGATAACCCGAGTCTTCGAGGAATTCTTCCCTAGAGCTAAGCCCCGATGGACGCAAGCTCGATAATTTCTACTACATAGATAAACCTCACGCAGGAGAGACCTGAGGAACTCTTTCCACAGATAAGCCACAGAGTCAAGGAGATCTTTCCCATAGATAAACCTTGAACCAATCGAACACTTGAGAACCTCTTCCCCCCAAGATAAGCCTAGTCACTTGAAATGCTCAAGGACCTCTTTCCCGCAAATAAGCTTCAAGTCACCTAAAAGATCAAGGACCTCCTTCCCACAATGAGCCTTGTGCCACCTAAGACACTCAAGGCACAAGGAAGCCATGAGCCACTCAATCCAATGAGCTCTAATGAAACGAGTCAAGTTCACAAGCCATAACAAGCATAATAGCCAAAATCTGTTCACGAACACGTTTGTGAAACTAACTAGTTGAGACAAAATTGTTCAGTCTCAGCTCGTTTAAACACACTTAAAAAGGAGTTTGAACTTGGCTCATTTGCTTCCGCATTGAGCTTTAATCTAGTTAGGCGCAAACTGTTCAGTGTTCACAAACAGCTCCTTCAATTGCAGCAGTATACAGAAAACCCAACAACAATTTTCAGTATTGAACACTGATTAGTTTATTAAACAGAACCATATATTCTTGCAACGCCGCCCTCAAAAACCAAAGTAACATCCTTTTACATCATGTTTATTACAATATATGAAAACATATGTCACAAACCTGCATCATCTAATGCATATTATTTGATGAACCTCCTCATATTTTAGGCCTTTGATCAAGGTAGACTTCAACTTATTAAGGGTACCTTTCAAGGCATTTTCACACGGAATGAGCATGGACAAAAACTACAGCAAGCACAATTCACAATCCATTCTCTCAGTCTCTCTTCCATTTTTTCTCCGGTGGCTGTGAAGAAGAGGCTTGGAAGTTGCTCTCTCCTCTTCTATTTTTTTACATCATATTTTATTTTTTCGAAAAAAAAAAAAAAAGATCAGCATTATGTATTTGCCACCACATATTTGAAAATTTATTGTTAAGTACCATTATATATTTAAAGGTTCTATTTATTGACGAGTTCAGCGGCAAATTCATGGTTGTAGTTGACAACTATAAAGTGATCATTAAATGAACTCGCTTTCTTCATGGGTTCATAATCATTAACTCCCATGATATGTAATTCACTAACTGATGCTTAAAGTGGTGAAACACTAGGATGTTATATTTTACTGGGGGTGACGATTGACCCAATTTAATTAATACATGGTATACCACAGTTCTCTTATGTAGCAGAATTGGTTCATTCGGGTTGTACAACTTTGAAAGACCAAAACAAAAACAAAAAAAAAAAACTGAACCTATCAAAGTATTCTATATAGATTTCTTCAATTAAGGAGGCTTCAATGTTAGAGCAAAATCAAGAACAAAAAAAAAAGGAAGAAAGAGTATAACTAATGGAATTTTTTTTATTTTTTATTTTTTTTATGTTTTATTGAGTAAATCAATAATGATGCCAAACAGTATTTCACTGAGGCACAATTGAAATTTGTCAGGACCAGCCCCACGTTGTGCAGATATTGTTTGCTTTGCATCTTCTCGACACTCACGTTTTTCAAAACACGTCTACATAGGTAAGGGGCATCCCTCCATATAAGTGTCAACAACTTTTTTCCCAGGCGATGTGGGACATCACAATTAACCGCTCTTGGGATTCAGCATCCTCACTGACGTGAGCCTCATGGGATTCTCCAAGTTCCCTCATATTCCTGCTAGGGATTGGCTCTGATATTATCTATCAAGATCTGCCCCACGTTGTGGAGATATTGTCCACCGTACACGCTCTTGGCACTCACCTTGTTCAAAACGTGTCTGCACGGGTAGGAAGCATCACCTCATATAAGTGCCAACAACTTCTCCCTAGGCAATGTGGGACATCACAAAAGATCTCCCTAAAATTTTTTGTTTGTCTAATTAGGTGAAGTGCTCTAACTAGCCTTAGTCCATGACAGTAAGAATTGTGTGTAATTCTAGGTGCTAGCAAGGGTTTAATTGTAACTCAAAATATTTCTGTATTTTGATCTAGACAAGATTAAAAAAATAATAAAGAAAAAGAAAAGAAAGAAAAATGAAAAATGAACAGGAACAAATCACCAAGGATTATATTGTAACTACACAAATGGTTCTTCCTCTTGATTCATATTTATTAAGATTCGGGTGGGGGACTTCTATACCTTGCATGAGACATATCTTTATGCTTACAAAATAGAATAAGAAAGGGGATGACATGTCAAATACTTGTACTTCGACTTATAATCCTAGAACTTTTAATTTTTTTGATTAATGAATTTGATTTCAAGATCACAGATCAGCTCAGCAGGTTCAGAAAGAATACTAGAGGTCAAGAAACAGCAGGGTTTAGGGAACAAAATAGGTGGTCAAGCTTAATGGTCTCCATGCAAGATAGTAACATTTTGGGTTCAACTTTGATCTTGTTAATAACAAAGGCTAGGAATTAAGAAAGTTAGTGGGCATATTTGCCTCACTCATGATTATGGGCAGTCAGAAAGATCTTTAGATAATTGTTATATAGTTTTGATCAAGTAACAGCAGCGTTTAGGGAACAAAATAGGTAGTCAAGCTGAATGGTCTCCGTGCAAGATAGTAACATTTTGGGTTCAACTTTGATCTTATTAATAACAAAGGCTAGGAATCAAAAAAGTTAGTGGGCATATTTGCCTCACTCATGATTATAGGCAGTCAGAAAGATCTTTAGATAATTGTTATATAGTTTTGATACAGCAAAACAAACACTACCCAATGAAGAGTATTTTTATACAGAAAAGAGACATAAGAAAGTGCCTTGCAGATATAAAGATGACCTAGCTACAAGATTGCCTTAAATGCAACGCATCTTTGGGGATTTTCATGAGCTATTCAATTGGCTCTTCATCAAATTCGATCCTATAAATTTACAAAAGAATAATCAAATATACATATGAATAGAACCGGATAATTATGATGCTCAGAGATATTTGTTTTCCAAACTCCTTTTCCTTTAGATGGCTTGACTGGTTTGGTAACTTGACCAGGTTAATGATCCCCCAGGTCTTCTAACAGAGCATAGCACACACTTCACATCAGCACGGATACCAAAGCTATTGTAAATCAAATGAACTACTAGGGGAAAGTGTTCATCTTGCACATGTACATTAAGAAAATAAAGTACTGCTGGAAATGTCTAGAAATTTCTTTTTAAAGAGATGTAAAAGATGAAACTTATGAAGTAAATGGTCAGAATTTCACTTTTTTCAAGATTTAAAAGTCAAAAAACCTTCGGAGCACATATGCAGATCTCTCATTAGACGAGGCCTACTCATCACACCCAAACAAAAAGATACTCATTTTCTGTGAGAAAAACAATATATAGCAATACCTTCAGAGCTAGTAGAAGCAGAAATGTCTCGACAGAGTAAAATCCTCTGTCAACAAAATCTCCAAGAAACAAGTAGTTAGTCTTTGGACAATCACCTCCTACTTTGAAAAGCTCTTTCATGTCATAAAACTGCCCATGGATATCACCACATATCTACACAAAAAAACAAAAAAGGAGCGAAATAACATAAATAAATCACAACTGTTACCAATATCAATATTCAAAACCAACAACAACATTATATAGTTAGAAGTAATACCAGAGACATAAAAGATCTTCAGATATTGATGAAAAGCAACTAATAGGCAAGAAGTTCAAATTAATGACAATACAACACAAATAACACCAAAGAGATACCCTGCCAGTGCTTATTTCAAAGAAAAAGAAACTTAAAATCAAAGGAAATAATGTGTTTTGATCGTTAAGGATAGAACATCCTGTTTCTCCCGACTGATATGAAAGGTCAAAATGTATCAATCAGATCTCCATAATTCATCTATCAATCCAGTCAAACTGTGACATGTGGTCTCTACATTTTCCTGAAAATATGAAGGGATTTGTTGACAAATTTTTGGAAAGTTTCATTACATTTTTTTATTTTTTGATAAGTATGGAAGTTTCATTACATTGCTGAGGGGCTTTTTGTATGCACCAATAAATGTAACAATACTAAATTAAACTGACACCTCAGTCTAGTTGAGTATGCTATCACATAACCCAAACTTGAATATGCAATCATATATGTCTATCTTGATGCCTCATAGAATATATGTTGTAAACTTAATTCAATACCGCCACCATTTCCAACGGAACTTTAGACATTGATTTGAAATCCAACAAAATGTTTTATAACCCAAACTCAAAAACCAAAAAGGTTCATTAACAAATCAGAGAGACTAAGCAAACCAACCACATATCATACTGTCTCATTTGCCACATAAGCCTAGGACAGTTGTGGACTTCACTTTACAAGCAATCCATGCAGCATCATGCTTCTACAAAGAAGGGATATTTGTATGGGTACATATCATACACCAATACTTCTTTGATATGCCTACCCGCAAGCCTGATATTTCTTAAATGCACATGTATATTGAAATATAAATTTTAATTTTAAACACATCCCCAATGTTTCGCAGATATTCGTGGAAATGTGTTTGACATGCCTTGGAAATTAACATGTAATCCTTATAACATAAATTTAGAGTATTACTATAAGACAAAATGAAATGAGGGTCACTTGGATAATTCAAAAGGACAATATGACATTTATGACAAGGGAACATGATGTTGATTCAACTCACAAATATTTGATGCAATACAATGCTAGTTTATTCACATGAATGTAATATGTTGAGCTAGAAACTTAGCGTGTGTATTAAATACACAAAACGATTGATTCTCATGACTTTGATTTATATATTTTTTGCTGTATCCCTCCCTAGCCAGTAGCCGCAACCGATTTTCTTCAAAATTTGTTGACTGTTGTATTAACATGTTTGTATAATTTTATATCCATGCCTATGCTTTCACTGGAGCAACCTAATTCTGTAGAACTTAATTCAGTGACACTTGGACAAACCACTACAAAACTTGATGCCTGCTCATTCAAATGAAATAAAGTGGGGTTCTTTAATCCTAATATAGGTTCATGTTTAAACATGATAAATACTTTGAAGCAACCTGTTTCCAAAAAACTTCCCAACCTTGTAATAGGCTATTCTTTAAACCTGGCAAAGTTTTCAAACTCCATTAGGTGTATCTTGCATATGCAAAAGGAATGTTTATCACTTCAGAGATAGAGTCGAAATGCATACATTGTGAGAAGCCATTATAAAGTTATAAATTCTGAAAGATGTTACTTGTTGGTAAAACGTTTTCGAAATTCCCCTATATTCTCCACTTACTTTTAAAGTGCGGAACTGGATAGAAAGATCAAGGCAGTGAACCATCACAATGATTTTTAATGCTATAACTCCTAAATATTCAAATTCAACTAGAAGCCATCACTATAAGAAAACAGAAAATTGATGCATAGAGTATAGTTTTCAATTGTTCAACAAAAAATTTTAGTTCATTCTTTCTAATCAGTCCCTATAAAGTTCACTTATTAATACCTAAAACATTCAAAACCAAAAAAATTGCCACTTTATTCTCCTTGTTCAGAACAGTCCAAGAAGATGTCAATCGCATGGAGAAACACAGTCTGTATTCATAATTACCAATCCATATAATTAAAACTCATATAAGGCCATGTTCAAATTGATAGATTTTCATAAAACTCATTATCAATACTTAACCCTAGATCAATCCCACAACAACCCAGAATCAAAACAAACCAAAACCTATAAAATTAAACCATCAATAACCAAACTGTATTTATACATAATATAAGCTCACAATAGAAATCTGACTTACAGTGACTGGTGCGTCGACCCTTTGAACGTTGCTCTCTTCAACGAGGATTTCCATGGCTTTGAGGCAAAGAGCCTTGACCTCGGACTCCTTCAAAGGCTCGCACTTCTTCAGCTGCTCTATTTGCCTGTCTAGGTCCGACATCATCTGAGTCTCTCTACTTTCTCTCTCTAACCTACTCTCTTCCTCGGACCGAAAAACAGAGAGAACAGCCGATTTGGACACTGACTCTCACTCTGCATCTAAAAACTGCCTCTCCTCTCCACTTAAATTATACTGTATAGCATACATACATATATATATATATATATAATATTGTTTAGTGGTTCACTTCTTCTTGTGGCCTCTCTCTCTCTCTCTCGCTGTCTTGGGGTTTTCGCAATTCGCGCTTCTGCTGCTTTATTTTTGTTGTATTTCTCTCTTTCCTTTTTCTTGAGTAACTATTTTAATAGTAATCTCGGGTTAAAAAACATATAATAATAAAAATTAATAGTAATCCCCATGAAATTTGTTATACTGCAATTTATATAAGTTATAACTTATAACTGCTTGTTTTTGGTGGTTCCTTTTTTTTTTTTTCCAGGTAAGAAAGAAATTACTGACTTCAATAATTTAAATTTCAACCCAGATTTACTTTTGTGAAATTGTTTTATTTAATTAAAAGTTACATACAAATTCCACGACTGCAATAGTATTTTCTATGTTCTACTGATGAAATTACGTGAAATTAGGTGAAAAGGATAGATACAGAATCTCAGTGTAGTTTTTCAGGGAGGAAAATACATACATACAAACATAAATACATACACACACATATATATATATATATGATAAATCTCAAGAGATAAAACATGGTTTACCTAGTTTTTTTTTTTTTCTTTTTTTTTTCTCGCCTTTTCTTTTTTATTTTTGTTTGAGGAGGAGAACAAACAATATGTCATTTTATCTATTGACTGTCAAGATCTTCTCTATCTGTCCGATGATCTTGTTGATGGCATGTTTTCTTGCTAGGGTAAAAAAAAATAAAAGAAAATAAAATCTTAGGTGTTTTGTCAACCTATTGCTTGATCAATATATATACTACTATATAAATGTCCATAGCTTTCTAATTTAAATACATTTTTAATAATTAATTAAAGACATATTTAAACTTCTGTTTGTTTATTGTTATTTTTTTAAGGGAGCTGATATTCATGGTCCACTATTATCCTCTGCCACTTCACTCTCTCTTCTGTTTAAAATAAAATTTCAAAGGAATTTTTAAATTATAAAATAATTGGTTCTTACACCTTTAATACCATAATTGCCCTTCCTTAAGAATTCTTGAATTTCAAATCATTCATCTTCTTTCAATTTGTTTAGCTTTCACGCATCATTTTAGTTTAGATTGTGTACTCCGTAATATATATATATATATATATATATAAGATTCTGAAGGCCTAATGCATTTAAAGGATTGTTTAAAATCACCTATATTGTTAACAAACAATAAGAAGAGGTTGTCAATCGTATTTCAGGAGTATCATGGTATGCGGTCATACTAACTCCACTGCGATGCAACGGAATGAAAGTCTCTAATTCGGTGTCAATTAAAAAATTGGATAAAACTTGTCCATTTATTAGTGAGTAGATTATCTTATTAACTGTTAAAATGGTTCAATTACAAATGCACAAATAATATGTAATTATAAAAATTTAGAAAGTGATAAATAAGGAAATCAGAGATGTCATATAATTTATTACAAAAAAAATTATTGTCCTTATTTATCACTTTCTTAATTTTATAATTACGAATTATTTGTGCATGTGTGATGAGACCACATCAGCAGCAAGTAAAAATGACTTACTCACAAGTGAGTAGACAAATCTTGTCTTTAAAGAAATCGATTATCTGTGAATTTTTTTGACCTCATGTATAAGGCCAAAAATGTATAAATATGTAATTTTTTACAATAAAGATGAAATTTAAGTGAATTTTAGTGACTAATGTTGAATTGTTCAAGATTATTTATATAAGTATTGATTTATTTATAAATTGTAAGTTGTTGTCTTTGTTACAAAAAAAAAAAAAACACACACACACACACACAAAATAATTATAGTTTTTACTGGGGATTATTACAAATATAGTTTTTACTAGGGATTATTACAAATAAATGGTACTAGTGACTCATATTTACCATTTAATGGAGTCAAACTCTCATAGTTTCGAAAAAATGAAGTTAACCAAAATGCGTGTATATAGAAAAACACTGTTTACCCTGACTAAGGTACCACTTTGTATACATTAGGTACCACTTTTATTTTGGGCATAGAGATACCACTTTTATTAACATAAGTATCACTTTTTGTGCACACAAATATCACTTTTTGTATATCATGTATCACATTTTTTTGCAACACAAAAAATGATATCTAATGACAAAAAGTGGTACATGCATGCACAAAAAGTGGTATCTCAGCGAGGCTAAAAAGTGTTTTTCCATATCTTTATTTTTTTTTGAGACTATGAGTGTAATACTCCTAGTTTTCAAAAGGATAAAATGGGAATTTAATTTTGATTATCTAAGTGACTTATGTACTTATTTGACTAGTTGTGTTTATTGTATTTGTTTAAATTAATTGATTGATTAATTGTCTGTTTAAATTAATAATTAATATTGTTTAAGTGTGTTTTATTTTATTATTCATTTGACTTGAAATTGTATGTGTGTTCTGTGGGGTTTTTAGTCATAATTATTTATTTATTTTCCTTAATTATGTTTAAGGGTAATTAATTAATTAGTTAGTTAATTTTGTTCCAGATAAATGTATAATGAACGTAACTGTTGTGGTCACTTGTTTATTACTATGTTGGGTGATAATTAGGTTTAGGGTGTTATGATTAAGTAATTAAGTAGCCGAATTGTAGTTAGGCTGGAATTAGGGTTAGGATTACTGGATTTGGGATTAGGGTTTCAGAGGAGTCTCTATATATATAACGATATATGTTGCAAGGGTTTTTGGGAGAAAACCCTATTCACGTAGGGGTAATTTAAGAGGAAAAACAGAGATACATAGAGAGGGTTATATACACTTCAATGTATATATTCTTGTGTAGTCTGCAAGGGTTAAAATAAAACATTATTCACGTAGTATTAATCTATGAAGCTAAGGAGGAAGAACAGAGGAATGGAACAATGGTCAGAGGTGGGAGCAGTATAAGAGAATTCTAAAACTTAGAGACGATGCTGCTATAAGGTTTCAAAACGAAATCTAAAGGCAAGTTTCATTCTCTCCTTTCTGTAAACTTGTGTTCTGTGCATTCTATATAGTCTCCAGGGTTAATTCAATTTTTAAACTGATGGTTGATGCATGTGTAACAGACTGTAACTTGTTGTGTTTAAAGAACTGGAATCGGTTTCCTGCATATTGTGTTTGTTTATGAATTGAGATTTTTTGTAAATTAATTCATAGTGGAAGGTGAAGAGTTTCTAGGACTCTAGGAACTTAGACGGAACCCTAGGAATGTAATTAAACTTTAAAACGAATATTTATGCATAATGAACCAAGCTGAAATCTGTTTTTACGTTTTGTGTTTCTAAAATTTTTCTTTGTTTCAACTGTTGCGACTAAGATTTAAGCTTCTGTAAATCAAATCCTAAGAGGATGTGAGGAGGTTCTAGGACTGTGTGGATGTAAATTGAACTCTAGGAAGTTTAAAAATCTAAAAACAAAGGGGACAGAAGGTTGAACTTCGCCGAAAGCACAGAAGATCACCGGACGAAGCAGAGACAAAGCAGAGGGGGCTCTCAGGGGGAGAGCCAGCTCCCTAAGTGTGGGAGCCGGCTCCCATGAAGAGAGAGCCAGCTCTCCATGGGGGGAGCCGGCTCTGGAAGTGTTAGAGCCGGCTCCCATGGTGGGGGAGCCGGCTCCCTTGAACAATTACCCCTTCGGGGGTATTTTCGGCATTTTTCTACCTTTGGGGCCTTAAACGAAGTTTCTAGAAATTAAAGGGGGTTCTAAATAATTAAAATTTACCTATTAGAACCTTTAAACAGTGGGTTTATATTGGGGTTTGATTCTAAGGGGCATCATGAACATAAACGATAGTAATGTGTATGCTGTCCAGAAGGAAGGAAGGGAGACTAACAGGCGAGTTGTTTTAGCAAAATTCAATAAACTGTTATAACGGATATTTCTGGGACTTTATATCAACAATGTCTAAGATATATTTAAGTTCCAAGAGGGTTGGTTAGGTTGTGGTTGTGGACATCGTGTAATTTAAATACATGGCTGTGTGCTGACAGGAGTGAAAGAGATTTTATTTGCTAGTTTGTTTTAACCAGTTTACATGAGTAGGTATAAAGTACCATTGGGGTTTTACACAATGTGCAGTGAGACTTCTCAGTGTCATATGATATCAGGCACAGGTTTTAGGATGCAGGATTAAAAAGGGACGTCATATGTTATAAACGTTAACTTTCATGCCGTCAGGATTGAGGAGGTTTTCATTACTAGTCTCGGTTGTAATAATTTGAATGAACTAGTATGAGAGGATGGTTTGGGTTTTCTAGTATAATATTGCTCAGTTTATAATTCTGATAATCATTATATCATGCTATGAATGGTAATTGCTGAACTGTTATAAATTCTTGTTCTGTCAATTATATGGAGATGAATGGATTAAATTGTTTATTGTTTTAACAATTTCATAAGGAGTTTTCATTATAAATATAGTCATATACTGGATGCATAATAGGATCTTGTCTATAATTGATTTCTATTATGTTTGGTTTTGGATGGATTGGATGTTTGAGTGATTTTGCATTGTACATGAATCATATGCATTATATGTATCGGTATGGGACGGTGACATATAAGGGATGGATTAGATTAAAAAGTTAAGTCCTACCCCTTCATACATACGGAATGGATTAACTAAAATAGTTAACTCCTACATGGATACATGTCCTGTCAACTAAAATAGTTGAACGACATAATGGATGCTTGTTTTATCTTTCTGCATTAGGAAGGAATTTATATATATATTTATGGTACTGTGATACGAGCTTGAGTCACCTGATTATGGTTAGGGTGCGTATATTCCAAAGGTTGAGTAGCTAGATATAGCTAATGTTCCCTGGTAGGTCTAGGTACTTGGCCGCTGAAAAGCGTGTTTTATATGTCACCTTCTACCCAAGCTGAACTATGTTATAGGCTAGTGAGCATCCTATAGTGTGTGTGTGTGTATATATATATATATATATATATATATATATATATATATATATATATAGACTATTGTAGATATTGCCGAGCTATCTAGGATGTATCTGCGTATCGGGTTTATGTAAGAATTGTAATAGATTGGAACTTGCATGTGGGCCTGACCCACTCCTATTTTT